GGCGAGTCGGAACGCTTTGCTTCTTGCTGGCTTTGTGATGGGCTTGCCCATCTTAAATGTGATGGACTGACAGGTAGGATCTTGAATTTGATTCTTGACAGTAAGGGATTGCGCTGGTCTTGCTTAAAATGCAGACCAACTGAAATTGAATTGTTTAAGGTTTTAAAGCAGGGGCAAAATGGTTTCAAGGAGATTGGTCGTGAGCTTGAAACCCTTACTGAAAAATTTAGGCGTTATGAAACGCTATTTCAAACGTTTCAATGCCTAGATATTCAGGAAGAGAATCAAAAACTTCGTAAACGTCCGTCTGATGAAGATACCACTGTAACTTTCTTAAAACGAATGCCCCCACCCACTATTGGCCTCATCCCCTTGTCCTCAAGGAGAGAAGGTTCCGTCTACTCAGGACACTGAGAAAACCGTTACTGAACACGGTAAGCGGAAAACATCTCAAGATCCGCCGCTACATACCTACAAGTCAGCTAATAAAAACTGAGTTGTTATACCGCGGAAAAAGGCACTTTTTGTCTCGAGATTTGCTGCGGATACCTCAGTCGATGATATAAAAGGTTACGTCTCGTCGAAATTAAAAACGGCAGATACAGACGTCCGTAAATTTATTTCAAGTACAACCGGGATATTGCGTCGTTTAAGATTGACGTATCCGCTGACAGTTTTCAATTAATACTTGACAACTCATTCTGGCCATCTAGGGTTTTTGTGCGTGAATTCGAGCACAAATGTGATAAGCCCCCTGTAGTTATACCTAAAATAACAAGAAATTCCGTGAATACAAAAAACGAATTAACAACAATTCGCTGACTATTTATTATCAAAATGTTAGAGGTCTTAATACAAAGCTTTCTGATTTGCATTCATTGTAACTTTAAAATCATTGCTTTCACAGACACTTGGCTAAAGCCTCACATTTTTGATAATGAAATACGCAACAGCGAATTCGAAATCTATAGATATGACCGGCTGAACAGAAAAGGAGGTGGTGGCTTGTTTGCTGTTCATTCTTCCATTCCATCTGAAGAAGTCGATGTTTCGCATGCAGACTTCATAGAATTTAAGTGCATCCGTACTTGCGCTAATAGTGGCCAAGCAATGAGTTCTAATTTATGGTTTTCGAAAGAGTTATGTAAATTAAACTTAAAAAAACTGGTTTAGTTGGTGACTATTCAAAATATTCTAAATTGCGTCGACAATTTGCTGAACTTAACAAAATAATTATATAAATAAAGTAAAAAATAATATTATACGTAATCCAAAATTGTTCTATGGTTTCGTCAACTCCAAATGCAGGATTTCTAATTTTCCGTCTGCTATGAAATATAAGTCTTGTATGTCTAGTGACAATCACACCATTTCTAATATGTTCGCAGAGTTCTTCAAGTCCAATTACTCTCCAAAATCTCCAAAAAATGTTCCGCATCAGCACAACTTATGTCCGATTTCTGTCATTAATGCACCTACTATTTCCGAAGCAGACGTCCTATATAAGTTAAATATGTCAGAACAATCATACAATTATGGCCCAGATATGATTCCCTCATGCTTTCTCTAGAAATGTGCCAAATAGATATACCAACCCCTAACAAAACTGTTTAATTCATCTCTTATGCAAGGCTTATTTCCATCGATATGGATCCTTTACATAAGAGTGGATTTAGGTCATCTATTGAAAACTGGAAGGGAATAGGAAAGTTGTCTGCAATACCTAAACTTTTTGAAGCAATTATAACAGACGACATAWCCTTMYGGATCTCTCCACTAATTTCTTGTTCTCAGCACGGTTTTCGTAAAGGKAAATCTACAATAACTAATTTGCTTGAATTGTATCACATGTATCAAGGGGCTTCAGGGAGAATAAGAATACTCACGTTATATAGACAGATTTTAGTAAAGCTTTCGATAAAGTATCCCATTCAATTCTTTTGAATAAACTTGATCTTCTTGGTATTTCTAAAATGGGTTGCTTCTTATCTTAGTCATAGAATCCAACAAGTCATATTTAACGATACTCTTTCCGACATAATCAATGTTCCTTCAGGCGTTCCTCAAGGTAGCCATCTTGGCCCAATTCTGTTCTTGTTATTTATTAATGACATATCATCKRTTSTTAAGTTTTCAAAAGTTTTATTATATGCTGACTATGTAAAACTTTTTAAAAAGTATACTTCATACAGCGAAAGATGTCAGTTGCAAACAGACTTAAACAACCTAGTTCCTTGGTGTGATAGAAATGACATGCCATTGAATCTTAAAAAATAAAAAACTATGTTTTTCACGTAGACCCAACTTTATACGCAATGCAAAACTTTAGGTTGGAGCAAGTATGCAGTTTTGTTGATCTAGGAGTAACTATGGACCCCAAACTCAATTTTAATCTTCCACGGTTTTTAAAGCCACTCGCTAGTCGTAGGGAGATGCTTGGTATAATATTTCTTGTAAAACTCATGAATGGCAGTCTGTAGCCCATCTCTTTTATCTGATATTAATTTTAACGTTCCCGCTCGCTCTACAAGGCAGTTTAGACCCTTACTTTTAAAATTTTCTAGAATAAATTTTGAGCTAAACGAACCATTCCGCCACATATGTCATGATTGCAATTCTCATTCCAGCACATTTGTCTATCAGACTCACTCTTTACCATAAAAAAAAATTATTTTATCTACTCTTAACAAGTAACGTTTAAATATTATCAACTTTAATTTTAATTCTTAATTTTGGCTGTTGAAATTTTTGTTTCTGAAGCTGAGCAGCTTAAGATCGCAACGCTTAAACTCTCTTGCCTTTTATGACTCTCCTATTTCCGCTCGTTCGCGGATTGCGCCCCTCGCGTCGGTTGGAGGTGGGTAATCGTTGGGTATTATTATTATTATTATTTTTATTAAATTGTTCGCTTTAATACACGAAATTTATTACCTTGAGTTTATAAGAAATGCAAAGATTTTAACAAAGTCATATTGGGCATGCGAAGGGTAGGAAGGTTTTAAGTCGATTTTCCGATCTAAACCGTTTTTATTTTTATGGAGAATTATTATTTGTGCAATTCATTTCCAACAAATTTGTTGTGCTGTATTAGATATATGTACATATTTTTGCCAGCTATGGAAAAAAGTCTATACCTTTGGTTCATCCGGATGCGCGAAAGGAATTGTCCTGTAAGTGGATTAATGCTAAAAAAAAGGCTAAGGAATTGCATTCCCTACTTAAAGAAAACGCGACCGGATTCAATGCTAGTCACGGATGGCTTCGGAGATTTAAGAAAAGATACGGAGTTAGATTGCTTAAAGTATCTGGAGAAAAACTCTCATCGCAGCCTCAATTGGTTGATCCATTTAAACTAAAACTAAAACAAAAAATTGACGAAATGGAGTTATGTAATGACCAATTGTATAATGCTGACGAATCTGGTTTATTCTGGAAGCTTTTGCCAGATAAGACCCATGTATCATCGCATGAAAAAACTGCTCCAGGAATAACGACGGAAAAGCAGCGTATAACATTTCTCTGTTGCGCAAATGCATCGAGTGCACATAAACTTAAACTTTTAGTAATTGGTAAGGCAAAAAATCCACGCAGCTTTAAACACTTTAGTTGGCCTACGGATTATAAGAACTCGAAATCAGCCTGGATGACGTCTGCCATTTTTAAACATTGGTTCCATCAATCTTTTGTGCCACAGGTAAACAATTTTTTCGCTTAATTAATAATTATTATAAATTCTTGCTTTTGGCCAGGTAAGATTGCTTCTAAATCGGAAGAACTTACCAATAAAGGCACTATTACTTATTGACAACGCTCCCTCTCATCCAAGTGAAGCAGAATTAAAAACTGAAGGTGGAAATATAATTGCCATCTTTATGCCGCCAAATGTCACCCCTCTTATCCAACCTATGGATCAAAATGCGATTAAAATAACGAAGTTATATTACAGAAACAGTTTGTTGGCTTCAATAGCAGCAAAAAACTTAGATTTGCTTGAATCAATGAAAAATGTAACGTTGAAAGATGCTGTTACCCTTTTATCTGTCGCGTGGGATCGGGTCAGCACAGAAACTCTTGCCAATTGTTGGAAAAAYATTTTAARWTTAAWGGGAAACGAGGAGGACCCTGAATATAACATTCCATTAAGTATCCTGAAAGACAAATGGAGTGCAGAAATAAACTCTTTAATGCGAATGTCAGTTGATCTCCTTCAGGACTTGAGTCCTCAGGTAGAAGTTTTACGACACACTTTGATATCATTATTATTTTTTTCTATTTTAGGTTGGGTTTACATTGCCAATGATTCGAGAGTGGAACGATGACCCTTGTGTTGATGATACCACCGAAATCTATGAAATTGAAGAAAGTGACGATGATGATTGTATTGCCGAAGACCCCATAAAGAAAATTGCCGCAAATGAGGCAGTTGAAATCTTTAACAAGGCATTGCAATGGGCTGGAGATGCAATGGTTGATCAAAGCGACATGCGTGTACTTAGACGCTTAAGGGAGAAAGCAGTATTTCAGCTATTAGAAAGGAAAAAGCAGCAGAAAGAGATAACGGATTTTTTTAATGAATAAATCTAATGTGAAATTTTATTCGCAATTTAATATGTATGTTCATATACTTTTACATTTAAATGTGTAAAAATCCTGAATTTAGCAATTTGAAGTTATTTTACGTCTTCAAATTCGACAATCGCTAACGTGAACATTTTCACTAACGTGAGCTCCCTTGGTTTCAATTAGTTCACGTTACCGCGAGTGCACTGTATTTATATATAATCTACAAATGCATACATATTTACACAAGTTCGTTGGTAAAGCTATTAGAGCGGCAAGGGAAGCAGTGGCAATTGGCGATCGTTCGCTTGTGTTTTCGGCGCGGCTCGGATTTTCTACCGACAACACTCTTTGAAAAAACTTGAGCTTCAGACATTGGTTGTCCGTGAATCGAAGATTTCGCATGAAGCAATAATGTACACATTTCCATACGAAGTTGTGGGTAGACAAATTTACAAACATTATGCGTATGGTTCTTTTTKTTTACATGCACACATAATTACATACGTGAATATGTGCGACCGCTTGGTCTTTCAACATGTTATCAAAACTTTTAAAGACCTGTAAATAAATATGCATGTATATATCTTATCAAAATTACATTAATTAAAGATTTACATAGGTAATAATGCATGTATGACTTTATTATATATTTCCAAAGATGTTAAGGAATTCATCATGAAATAGTTCAATTTGTACATAGATGCTTGTGTGCTTTGATATAAAATATACTTATGTATGTATGTATATAAATTATATGCAGTCGTTTGCGCATTGTAAATATACGAATATGTAAGCATACACTTCTAAACATTGAAATTAACATATTTGTCCCCATTGGCTCTAACAACTACTCAGTTATGTTATTGTCGTGCCCCTGATGTTAAGTGGTTAAACGCGCTAATAATTTTCTGTGGTGAAACGCACTCATCCAAAACAGTAAATACATATCCCAAAATTGAAATATCCCTCAATTTTTGGCATCGTGAACCTTCTCTATAAATATACGTTCTCTGGGTATTACTTTTAACTTTTGAAGGGTGTCAATGTGTGAGAAGGTTTTAAATTAAGCTCAAAAAGGTATTCTGTTATAAGTTGTAAATAAATTACGCTATATGTTTAATTCTTTTTATCACATTCTTGGTAATAATTCGGTCATAAGTTTGTTTCTTCTCTTTGTGCTCAGTAAAATGCATTGTTGCCATTTATGAGTAGGTATAAAAAATGGAAAATGCAAACGGTTTACATGGGTAAAAAAGAGGGTTTGTTAAACATGTAGGATATGCTTAAGATTTTTTGTACAAAATTTACATTTTCTTATTATCATAAAACAAACTTTTCTAATTAGAAGCCATTATGCGATTAAAGCAATTATCATTCAAAAAGTAACTCGTTTCTGGTTAGAAATAAATGTTAATTACATATTGAAAACTAATTACCCTCGCCTGTACTCAACAGAGAGCTGCAACGAGTATAAAAAATCAGAACAAACACTCTTGCCAAAAACACAATAGGGGTATTCGCTTGCTCTTGCAAGTTTGCAGATTGCAAAACTACTATAGCTAAATATGCAAGGGCACGAGAGCACCCATTACAGAATCCAGTGATATAAGAAAGGCTGATTCGATCAATTTATAGTGAATGACTATTCTGCATGGCTATTGTGAATTGCACCTTCTGCATACATTTTTAACAGAAAAAACTGTAACAAATCTTTATAATTTAAGTAGAAATTATAAAATCTATTTAAAACTTACTTTCCTCAACAATTTAACGGCGTAATATGTTTTTTCGTAAAATTACAGCTAAAACAGGGTTGCAATTATATTTTTGCGTGACATTGCACGCAAATATACATGGGTTTTGGTCTGACATATTTTACAATTTTCTGCTTGTGTTTGTTGTTGTGCCGGTGCACCAAGAGGAAATATATGCAACTCTTTTGCAAGAGCAAGTGAATACCCCTAATCAAATCAATTCAGTTCAGCATAGACAACATTGTTGATCAATTTGAGTATCCGTCAGCGTCAACTGATCTGAGCAACACGAACAATCTGTTCTTCGACAATCACGATCGAGTAAACGGTACGGCTAGCTTCGGTTCCAATTGTACCATGTCAGTTCATAGTGTTTCGACTATTCTTTGAATCGATGGGAAACTTCGGGTAAACTATAAGTAAATCTACGAGTAAATCTTTGGGTAAATCTACATATAAGTACAGCAAACAACAACAATTTTCTGCTGGACTGATTTGAATTATGTGTGGCAAATAATGTATCAGCTTTGAAAATGTGCGCATGTTACAAATTTTCGATACGTAAACAATGGTAATTCTATTGAGTACGTATGCACATACTTTTGTATATATTTTTAAATATGTACATATGTTGTTTCTATATACTTGGTGGAATTTCTATTATACATATGACATATTTTTTACATATGTATTTGAAATAGAAAAGAGTGCACGAGTAAATCAGTGTTAAGCGGATGATATACAAACCGAACGCTGTCGATCATTGCAATCATTGAAGTATGAGCTTGCCTCACTTCCGGTATTTTCTGCTGATACGAACGTCCATAAACAAATGAGGTATAAGACAGAATCAGACAGAGTAACGGATCAGTACTTAAGTATAAAAAAAAATTTATTACTCGTTGCAGTTCTCTGGTACTCAACTAACCAGGCGCAATTCAGGGGAAAATTAGTAATTCATGCTGCAATCGATTCAACTGTTTTATAATAATTAATATTACTAATATTTTTCAATAGGAGTGGTATGATAGTGGAGTTTTATTTTTAATTTTTCTATATGTATTAAAAATATTTCATGAAAATTGTCTTCCAAACACAGAAAAGCCTACATATGGCAGCACGAAAGTGTTGATAAAATGCAACCCTGTATACCAGCGTGCTGCGAACTATCTCAAGCGTCTAGTCTCGTCTGACATTATTTACCGTTATTCGTAAATAAGATAATTTCCATACTTTTAATATTTTCAATGTGGTATTATTTCAAAATGAGTAAAGAAATTAGTGTTGAAGTACGACAACTAGTCATAATTTATCATAAAGACAAAAAATCTTTACGTGATATTAGAAAACTAGTAGGACGTCCAACAATAATTCGGAATTATAATATAATGAAAAGTGTACAAAGCAAGCCGAGGAGTAGTCGCTTGCCTAAACTTTCATCACGAGCAAATCGTAAAATTGTGGCAGAAGTTCAAGAACATACCAGAATTTCGGCAATAGATATTGTGAAAATCTTGGAAAGCTCGGATATTGCTTCAGTGCATCCAGAAACCGTAGAAAAGTGTTTAAGAGATAGCGGATTTCATGGTCGAGTAGCCGGGAAAAAACCGTTTACGTGTTGATTTTGCTCCAAAATATATTGAAGCAGATGAATGTTTTTGGGCCAATGTCTTATTTAGCGATGAAAGTAAGTTCAACTTGTTTGGTTGTGATGGGAACCAAAAAATTTTGCGCAAAAACAAAGAAGATAGTCAGACACGGAGGCGGTTCCATAATGGTATGGGGTTGCATGTCAGTGGCTGGGGTGGGTAAATTAGTTTTTATCGAAACAACAATGGATTGTATGGTATATCTGAACTTATTAAAAGATAATGTGAGGCAATCCCCAGATAAAATTGGTCTTGCAGAGGGTTGGTACTTCCAGCAAGATAATGACCCAAAGCATACTGCACGTATTGTTAAAGAATGGCTGCTATATAATGTACCTCATCAGCTTCATTCTCCTCCCCAGTCACCGGATTTGAACCCCATAGAGCATTTAAAGGATGAATTAGATCGTCGTATCAGAAAAAGAATGATAAAAAACAAACAGGACCTAAAAAAACACACTACTAGAGGAATGGGATCTTATTCAACAGACTATACAAAAAAAAATTTAAAAACCGATTAACCCTCATCGAGACCAACGGGTCTGGCCAGGCATATTTCGTTTTTAGATGTTATTTAAATATATTTAGAGTGTAGGAAACGACTTGCGCTTCCAGGTAGCTTCCTAGAATTTTATTGTCTATAGAATTTAGAGAAAAAAAAATGAAGGATAGCGTATCAAAATGGACGAAAAAAGGATATAATATTACACCTTAGTCGAGACCAATGATGCTTGGCTAGACCCCATATATTTTGTATGAAAATATGTATATGAACTTTGGTATATTTCTATCACTTCGCACGGTTGATTTATCTGTTTTCATGTTCGTTACATGTTCAAATTGGTTTGTAGGTTTATGTAGCACTCATATAAACATACTCCCGTGCATAAATATGATCATTCGGGTGTACAACGAGCTCTTTGCGCTCGACTTGTTCGTGCGAAAGAAGAAAAAAGATGGAAACAGTCAAAAGAAGAGTGTGTTTACAAACAAAACCAGGATTTTGTGTGTTTATTTTTGCTACAGTATTCTTCTTCTCTCTCTCTCTAATGAATTCGTTTTCTGTATTCTTTTGTATTATGCAAGTCAGTTGATGACAGATAGTTGAACACATAACATATTACTGTGAAAATACGCATATTTCGCGCAGTTCTCATCTTATTTTTTATTATTCTGTTCGCTTTGGTTATAATAATGAGTGATGAATTGGAATATGTGTATAATACACGATTACGTTCTAGAAACATCAGTGCAGATTTTTATGATCGCTTAACATCAGCGATGGTAAATGACATTCAAAATGAAAATAATGATGTTGCGCGTGAAGAAATGGATCCATTCCAAAACGGTGACGATGATAGAGATGTCGATTATATGCCATTTGAAGATGCATCGGATATTGAAAATGAAATCGAAATCGAGCCGAATGAAATATTAGATAGCGACGAAGAGGAAGTAATCGACGGTGTAGAAGAAGAAGAGCGTGAAACTCCAGCTTCTACTGAAACTTCTTACTACGGTAAAGATGGGACAGAATGGAAAAAAGAGCCTAATGAAGCAATTCGTGCTCGTGCACACAATATTATGCGCTTTAGGCCTGGACCCATTGAGG